AGATGTTATCTCGTTAATTTAAAATCACTTTTGACCATACTTCTCTACTGATGGTCATTCTCTGGTGGGAATTTGACTTCTACTCATAAAACTGCACTGTAATAAAATAATACCACTAAATATAATGCTTGAAGCCACATAAAAAAAGGGAATATATAAGAGGCAAGTGGACCAGCACTTCCTGTGAGGCGCAGAGCATGTTCAGTTCATCACGTAGGATCAGAGTCAAGAGAAGTGGACAAAGCATAGTTGCTACTGAACGTTAGTATATTTCAATAGTTATCACCAGATACTTCTGTAGAACTAAAATGTTCCTGATGTGTCAAAGCAATGGTGCAAATTCATACATAAAAGTTGGGGTTATTTAACCAGGACTGAAAATACTTTGGGGGTTTAAACTCAACATGAGGGGGACATAAAAAGGGGGTCAGTTTCAGATATGCATTCTAGGCGTATGCTGCTAGGTACAAGATCTAATGGCTGGGTAGAAACTTTTCTTATTCTCCTGCCTAACTGATGCTCATTACAAACCATTCAGGGCTATGCTGCTTCAAGGGCGGTGTGGGGGGCGGGGTGGAGAGCACTGCTTCAAGCATCAATAAAAAATGAAATGGAAAATCCAATTTTTCTTCTTTTGGTGAATTCAGAAACATGGATTTGTGCTGGCAGATACAAGATTTATGAAATACACTGGTCTGAGTACAATCAGGAATCTCCTGGTAGCTGGTTCAAGCAACTACACAGCCCACTAATATCTCAAATAAATATAGTCTTCTTAAACTCAACTAGATGAACTCTCTGATTTCTTGACATTCATTTATAGCAGAGGTATTTCTATGTGCATGCAGCCTCTATCCAGTCAATGTATGGAAAAGGTCTAATGCTGATTCTAGAGTATCCTTTAAAGTAAAGTTATAGGCTGTGTCTACATTGGCAAGATTTAGCGCAAAAGCAGTCACTTTTGCACAAAATCTTGCCGCCTGTCTATTTGCGCAAGAACACTGACGTCCTACTGTATGAAATCAGTGCTTCTTGCACAAATACTCTTGATACTCCCACTCAGGGATAAGTCCTCTTGCGCAAGTGTTCTTGCGCAAGAGGCCAGTGTAAACAGGTAACATCAATTTCTTGCGTAAGAAAGCCCGATGGCTAAAATGGCCATCGGAGCTTTCTTGCACAAGAAAGCGTCTACACTGGCACGGATGCTTTTGCGCAAAAGCAAATCTTTTATGCAAAGGCACATGCCAGTATAGACGCTCTCTTACTCAAATACTCTAACGCAAAAACTCTTGCGTTTAGAGTATTTGCGCTAAATCTTGCCAGTCTAGACGTGGTCGGAGTGTTTCTAATATGACTGATATAATACAATAGGACAGTAAAGAACTTAACTGTAGCTTCTCCTTCCCATGAATTTTCCAAGAAGGTAAGATCTGATAGTGCAGTTTACTACTATTCAAAAGGCATCTTTGTTAACAATGCTTCAAATCCTTGATATTCAAATGACCAAATATCCTATCTGTCCCCAAACTTCCTTTTTAGCCTCCTTATTCCATACACAGACTTTAAATTTATAGTCAAACAATACGATTAACCAAACAGATAACAGGGCAAGCTGGAAATTAAAAGATGTCAATCAAATGATACTGTACTCCAGTGATTTACCCTAATCCACGAATCATAAGCTTCTCTTCCTCCTTGCCCATTCTGACACTGAGCAAGGAACGGATCTGGCCCAGAGATGCCAAGAGGTTGATTGTATCTTCCACTGATACACCATTTATGGTGTAGGTCTTTGGTAAGCTTCGAACCAGACCTCCGATACCATCATATTGGCGATGAAGCAATACAAACATGGCCCTCACTAACTCTGGATCCTCTATTACGGACTCCTGGGCCCAGCGTACCATGGTCTCTGAAATCAGTTGCTGAAGAGTAGCTAAAAAGAGAAAATACATGAAAAATTTTAAAAAATTCTCATTTTTAACAACAGATTCTCTGAATGTCTTATGCAGCATATTAAAATTAACACAATCTAAAAAACAATTTTTGTTTTCTTAACACACTGAGGTACAATGTAATATATTGTGTTGAGGGAAAAATACAACAGGGAAAACAAGTGGCAATATTTTGCTTCTAGAAGCTAGCTTTAAAATTACAGATATCACTTCCACATTTGACAATGCAATAACTGCTTGAGGTTATTCTGGATTCTCACTGGAGATCAACTGTACAGTAGCGGCCAGCTTTATTTCCAGGTCCTTTTTCAATGAGTTTTGAAAGCAAACCTCTGCGGTTTTATTATTTGCCATTATTTCTAACCAGAGCACACTGTTTGGTGCCTTGTGTGAAACAGACTTTTATTTATTTATAATCTTACCTCAAGCTTTTAAAGAGATAGTATGGAATAGTTCAATTTAGCACAATGTCAACACTACAGTATCATCCAGTAGAGACCCTTATCCTTTAAGAAAAAACTTGATCAATGGACAGGTCATTTCTTATATGATTTCAGTTTGGTTTCTAGTGAAAAGAGAAACCTACTACTGGCATCCTCATTGGCAGTCTCAGCAGAGAGGACAAAGACTGACCAGCAATATGGGTAGGTGCAGAATGTGAGATTAGTGACACACTGTAGGGTATGCAGAGTGTAACGGAGACTTTTGCAAAGCACTGGAAATGTTGGGGGTATGTTTACCATAATAAACATCTCTAATATTACAGAATATTGTAATCTTTGTGTAAAAAATGAAAGTGTTGATGAGGGTTATATAGCTGATTAGGTAAAATGGGATAATACATTTATAAAGACAAGTGAGTATCAGTGAAAAAGCATTAACTGTGGTTCTTGAAGATGCATTGACCACATATACTCCATTATTGGTGTGCAGGACTCTGTCCAGCTGTGCTCACAGCCTGCCCTCAGTTCTTTCTCCAATACAGAATCCATATTTTTCTTCAGACTACAAAGTAGTGGGGAACTAGGGTGGGTCATGGAATATGTATGGACAATATATCTCAAAGATCAATATATACTATAAGGCAAGTAATTGTTTCTTTTTCTTCGAGTACCTGTCCATGCATGCAGCACTTTTAGTGACTCACAAGCAGTAATCTAGATTACCAGAGATGGGTGCTAGAAATCTACCTGAATTCTATCTGTAGGAGAGCTCCACCAAAATTAAAACCAGATCTTGACATTTCCACTATGCAGTTAAATGAGCTCTGAACCCCAACTGCCTACCTAACATACTTCTAATTCTAAAACATTTCTCAAGCTGCCACATCAGCTGTTTGCACTCATGTACAATGAGCCATCAGCCCCATTGATGGGTTTCTGTTTGCTAACTCACAGCACAGTCTGATACAAGTAAAAATCCAGTCTGAGAGTCTGTATGTTACCTTTCACCCTTTCCCATAAATTACAACAAATTGAGGGAATGCCTAATCAAAAGACATCACCTAACTGCACCTAAAGTGCAAGAATTAGCATTACCTTTGCTTCAATGTTGTTTTGGGAAAAATGCAGGGAGGTGTATAACTTGATTCACATATATAACTTGATTGACAAGAAACTTTCTTCAGTCAAAAAAAATGGGTAAAGTCTCAAGCACATCCTGTCTCTACGAAAAGCCTTATGTATCCGATATACCACAAAAATAATTCATTATCCTCCTTAAAACACCCATTTGTCATGAGACCTACAAAAAACTGAACACCTGGGCAACTGATGTGCTGTAACTGCTCCCTACCATGCTCCCTACCATGCCATTGCTATGGACAAACAAACAAAATTCAGGCAATCCTATAAGAAGTGTGAACTGTCCCCAAGGCACAGCTATGTGTGATGTAATATGAAATACTGAATATATTCAAGGGAGTTGAGTAACATATGACATAGAAAGCTATGTTTGAATTTTCCAATAATTTTTCAAGCACAATATTCCACGTACATAATTTCTTCACTCCATTTTAACAATATTTATACTTTAGATAATACAAATACACATTCAATAACATAATGGATGTATGTTTTGTGATGATTAATAGACTTGTGCAGACATGTCTAATAAAATTTCCGGAAGTTTGGTTTAGTTTCACAGATTATAGCAGTATGTCAACGTGGGACATCCAGCCTTCTGACCAAAAGATAAGCTAGAACTCGAGTGGCTTGATGAAAAGGAGGACACATGGTTACCTAAGGTGCTATGCTGCTGCTAAAGTTAAAAAACAAAACAAAAACAGAAAACAGTGATACAACTGACTGCCCACTAAAATCTAATGGAATCCCTTCATGCTGGAAGTTGAATTTGAGTTCCATGGATGTTACTTATTGTTATCTGAAGGAGTTGAGATTGTCAAAAATGGAACACTTTCAGCAAGTGACAAGTGACATGGAACATAACCACTTGAAACCCCCCCTGATGTACAGAGGTATAACTTAGAAGTTTGAGTGAGCAACCTTTACTCATGTTGGTTAACTATTGCTCAAGCAAGAAGTCACATTGAAGTAATTGCAACTATCTATGTAAACAAGTGTTCCCCACTAAGAATTGCAGAACCAGGACCCTGTTAGGTTTCTTATCTTTCCTCCCTGAATTTTTACAGTGATTACACAATTCTTTATGCAGGCTAAATATTTTGTATAGGAGCAAACAAAAATTGCAACTGGAAAATGCACTAACTGCATGATATAAAAATAAGCTTGCAAAATTCATTATAATAAATATGCTGACAGAGCCCATTGGGAACCAATATTGGACATACTGAAAATCACAGTTAAGCCTGCTTTGAATCAGAGCCATAAGCTTAAAGATACACACAGATGTTTCCCTTCAAATCTAACTTCCTCTGACACACAACATATTCAGAGCTGCCAGAACTTTCCACTCCCTTTCCTTTCAGAGCGAGACTAAATTGGATTTTAATTTAATTTTGCTTACAGGGTTTCTTAGCATCATTATCAACAGGTTTCTCATTTTGTTTCTTCTTCAAATATGTGACTTTTTCTACTAGGTACATGAGGCGACCTCTAAAGGTTAAATCACTGTTTCCATCCAGGACTCCATCTTCATCGAGTTCAATTCCTGAAAGCAACAAGTATTAAACAATTACAAATTAAATTAAATCGATGCCAGCTCTGCTCAGTATTCAAATGTGTAAACATAAACAAATAACTATTGTTCTGCTCTGTTAGCTAAGTAGACTAGAAACATACACAAATATGATGCTGCCTCAAAAGTATTCCCACAATGTAAAGGTTAGAGTAGAGAGCTGGGAGTTGTGAATCTTATAGCCAAGGTCTGGTTCTGTCATTTATTTCATTATGTGACCGTGAGACAGCCTCTTAGTCAGTGTGCGCCTTAGCATCCCCATCTGCAAAAAGAAAGCCTCAGGGGCTTGACTGAGGTTTGTCAAATATTTGGGGATCCCCAGTGGAGAGTATTAGCATTGCTGTTAATTCATTTTGCAGGAAGTAGGTATGAGCAAGTAACTTTGTACTTTATATCATAGCACTTGTGACTTGCAACTCTGAGAAAAAACAAGGTGTAAAAATACAAAATATATTGATTTGACGCAAAATATACTTGGAAGATCAAAGTATTCACATGGTTTCATCTAAAATAATGTAACTGAAACCGAAGGTTTGGTCCAGGCCTATAGCCAATATTTGTATGTCATGACTATTTGAGTTCAAAGTAAAAGTGCCGTTTAGTATTTTTCAAATTTGAATGTATTCAACTTTTTTCACATTTACACCATGATTCTACATTATATCATCATTTTGCTTCCTACTTTATCATATTTAATGAAGAAATTGGGTTGTATTTAAAATGTATTTGCCTTTTTTCCCCCATTAATCCTGACATATATATGATCTATTATTCCCTTTACATTGCATTTCACCCGAAGGCAAAAGTTAATACAGGCAGTCCCTGGGTTACGTACAAGATAGGGACTGTAGGTTTGTTCTTAAGTTGAATCTGTATGTAAGTCGGAACTGGCGTCCAGATTCAGCCGCTGCTGAAACTGACCGCCA